GAAGACACCAGAAGACAATCAAAACGGCACATATTTTATTGGTACTCGGTCATCAGATAATAATTAATATTTAATAATTATCACTATTATTAATACTAATAATTAAGATTGTTCTATGAAATCCTTTTTATTCACAGATTTGGATAAGTTCATGTGGTTCAGGTTAATTACCTCACTGGTTTCAAATTAAACTATATTTCACATGGGTATTTTTTTTTTTCGGAGCTATATCGCGCTTATCTGAATTTCAAAAGTATCCATACACTGTTCCAGTGTATCTCTTCTATACAGATGAGAGTGAAGAGCGGACGTAAATTTTATAAACTTTAAAAAGTAAAACGTGGGACTGTGCTATTCATTTTTGTATGTGTGACGAACATTTATAAATCCCGCTTATTAAAACTGGTCATTTATGACAATTAATGTGCTTGAAAGTTCAGGTTTTGGCTACTGAACCCATGTAACTGGCTGTCGAAGGCAAAGGTTTGTTCTGACAAACCATTTCTAACGTGCCAACAAATTCAGCTTCGAGATAACTGGACGCCAGATGGAGACACTATAGTCTAGATTACAAAGTTCATGAACCATTACCATTATTCCCGATATTTATAACAAAAAGCTGGCCATACTACGGAAGTAAATAAGGGCCAAAACATTTCCTCATTGTAAAACAATGTTTTGTTTTAAACTCACGCAAAAAGGGGTTGATTAAAAATGTTGGTGCAAAAAGATTAATTGAAGGAACCCTGGAATAAAAGGATTGAGTGAAGGAACCCAGGAATAAAATGATTGAGTGAAGGAACCCTGGTGAAAAAGGATTGAGTGAAGGAACCCTGGTGAAAAAGGATGAAGTGAAGGAACCCTGATATCAAAGGATTGAGTGAAGGAACCCTGGTGAAAAAGGATGAAGTGAAGGAACCCTGATATCAAAGGATTGAGTGAAGGAACCCTGATATCTAAAAGGATTGAGTGAAGGAACCCTGATATAAAAGGATACCAGGGTTCCTTCACTCAATCCTTTATTCCAGGGTTCCTTTAATCAATCCTTTTTCACCAGGGTTCCTTCAATCACCTTCAATCATTCCTTTTAAACCCTGGAATAAAAGGCTTGAGTGTAGGAACCCTGATATAAAAGGATTGAATGAAGGAACCCTGAGGTAAAAGGAATGATTGAAGGAACCCTGGAATAAAAGGATTGAGTGAAGGAACCCTGGTGTAAAAGGGTTGAGTGAAGGAACCCTGATATAAAAGGAATGATTGAAGGAACCCTGGAATAAAAGGATTGAGTGAAGGAACCTTGGTATAAAAGGATTGAGTGAAGGAACCCTGGTATAAAAGGAATGATTGAAGGAACCCTGGTGTAAAAGGGTTGAGTGAAGGAACCCTGATATAAAAGGAATGATTGAAGAAACCTTGGAATAAAAGGATTGAGTGAAGGAATCCTGGAATAAAAGGATTGAGTGAAGGAACCCTGGAATAAAAGGATTGAGTGAAGGAACCCTGGTGTAAAAGAATTGAGTGAAGGAACCCTGGTGTAAAAGGGATGATTAAAAGAGTCCTGGTGTGTGAATATAGAAGAAGAGCATGGCTTTGACTACGAAAATACTAACATAGAACATACTATCTTAGAACATAGAACATACTATCTTAGAACATAGACCATACTATCTTAGAACATAGAACATACTATCTTAGAACATAGACCATACTATCTTAGAACATAGAACATACTATCTTAGAACATAGACCATACTATCTTAGAACATACTATCTTAGAACATAGACCATACTATCTTAGAACATACTATCTTAGAACATAGAACATATTATCTTAGAACATCATGTTAAGAAGTTGGTCACAACTCCTTCATACAGTAGTCATTCAACCTCTCTGATTATTCAGTAATTCCGAACTGTCACAACAGTACGATGGGATGCACAGAACAATAACTTCAGTAATTCCGAACTGTCACAACAGTACGATGGGATCCACAGAACAATAACTGAGATATCATGGCATTTGTTGAAAAAAAATAATCCTAGTTAAATCCCATTGGGCGCAAGTATACATATTTTTAATTGTTCTAATTGTCCAATTAAAACAAATCACTCCCACTCTCCAACGTACGTTTTTCGCGGAGGATAGTGATGGTAAGATGGCGTTCGAAGCCTACTGTAAACACGGTTGTATTCCTCTTCGCTAGAAACGAGTCCATCAGAACCTAAAATAAAGAAAAATGTAAATTAATCAGGCGAATTTTTATTTACCTAACGTTAAAATAACACCATTAGTATCTTTAAAACTGAAAACAAAATAGTTTAATTTTCTGAAAACGTCAGTAATCGTAATAATGATATGTGACGCTTGACCTCTTACTTAAAAGCCGATTTTTAAAACGTCTTATAACAGAGGCGATAGTAATCAGTTATTTTAGTGCAAAATTGTTAACGAGCTGTCGGTAGCAGAAGAAAAGACTGGTAGACTCCAGTGGATCCATGGTTTGTTTATTCTAGAACAAAACCACATTTAGCTATCTGCTTTGTCCATCGCAGGGAATAGAACCCTGGATTTTAGCGTTGTAAGTACATATACTTACAGCTGTTCCATTGGGGCGGGGGCTAGGGGCTGGAACCATGGGTTCCTCAAACGTAACATTGCGCTCCGTCCACCGTAAGAAAGAACCACGGATTTCTGCGTTGGAAGTCCGTAGGTCCATCAGGGGACAATCAGTAAATTAAAGCCAGTAACAAAGCTTACTACTCATTTGAATTTAATATTGCGTCCCTTTCGCTCTTCAAATAAAACTCAAAATTTAAGACCTGTCAAAGCATAAATTAATTAGGCAGATGAAAACCCCCCTTATAAATAAATAAATAAACCAATCAAACAATAATAATTCAATTACTTTTGTTACAATGTAGGGGACCGATAAAAGTGTGTGCTCATGCGCAGTTGCGACGGCTATTCCGCCAACAACGTGAACCATAAATGCCTCAAAGCACGGCATTACGCCCCCTATCGAGAAAACATGTAACCACTCATCACACTCCATATGACGAAGTCAAAACAAATGTGCATAATAGGTCAATAAAATTCACTCTTAATAATAATACTAGTTTTCAATGCTTGTTGTTAAGCCCAAAGCTACACAATGGGCTATCCGTTTTGTGCCCACTATGAATATCGAAACCCGGTTTTTAGCGTTACAAGGGTATAATTGGTCAACACTTACCATGCGTTGTTGCATACGATGACCGTTCTTGAGATCGTAGAAGACCAAGGTAACTAGCGCTATGGGTTTTCTTGACGAGTTCATGGTCACGCTTGGCAAAGTTGGGAACGCGAGCACGTAGTCCACAGTAGTAGGGATCGTCTGTAAAATATCAATAATATATAAAGGGAAAATTGGTTAAGTTACAATAGTACAGAGAAGTTGTTCCTTTTGGGCTATTTGCGCTCTGTCCACCCCTGAGGAATCAAACCCTGGATTTTAGCGTTAAAAGAGTAGGTAAGCTTACTGTAAATGACTGTTACGAATCTGGTTTCCTCTTGTTTTATTAAATGTTGTCAGATCTAACACTTATTTTTTCTCAGAAACCATTTTTTTTTGCGATGTCAGTAAAACTTTCGCTTTCCTGTTTATCTTTTGATATGGTTTGGAAGTTAAATATGTTTAGAATGCTAATAATTAACGTTTAAATATTAAAACCTACTGTGCTCTCAGCTGGTGAAAAGTTATCGCTATGAGTTTCAAACATGGAACGCAGGGTTTCATTAAGACAACTACGAGACCCCAAACACACACATACATACATACATATACAAGAAAACACTAATATACTAGTTGTATTTCCGCAGGCCCCCCGAAGGTATTCTGTTTCAAGAGTAAATAACACCAAAAGTAAGGGTAACAAATATTTTTATTTCTTGCTTTTAAAGTTCATATGTCATGCTGTGTTGTAGCCTACAGAGTGAATAATTCTTCTCGTGATTCATGGCATGCACACGTTTTGCTGACGTCACGACGTTAAGCGTCCCTTATATGACGTCATTTTAGTGTCGACCGACTGACAGACAACACACTACTGAACAGTGGTAAGAGTGGTTGAAACAGGTAACCCCACCAGGTGGCCTTCGGTCCCCTTTCGGGGAAATTATATATACTCTTCTGTGATTTTCTCTTTTTTGATTAATTTTTTGACCTGTTTCGTGACCTCAAAGGTCACCTTCAGGATGTAATTTTACAGAAAATTTTAATGTCCCATTTCTAATTGCTAGTAATAGTTTTTACGTTTTCACAAACGATTAAAAAAAGAGGTAAAACCGGTACATTTTATGTTATGTGCTTCGTGTTAAGATTTCATGCCTGATTGCCAAGTAAATGCAACATACACACTAGTATGGTAAATATTAGTTACTTAAATTACATAACAAAGGAAAGAGGTTACATAAGAGCAATCCCCTGACAAAGGTTAATCTCGGGCGCGGGCCCCTATGTAGCTGCGGGCACTGGGCAATTGGCCAACTTGCTCGTGCAGTAATCCGTTACTGACATACAAAGTAATTCATTTTTTTTCAAACGCGGGATCAGTCAGTACGCAAGAGAACATACCTGTTTAGAGGCGCAGGAACTTGGTGCCGAAAGCTACTTTCGGGAAGGAACAAGTTATTCTACTCTCAACGTAAAAACAATTTGCAGTAAAATGTTTAAAAAAATAATTTTATTCGAAAACAAAGATTCTCTTAGAAGATATTCGAAATAGAACTACCCCCCCCCCCCATAAAGTAGATACCTACGTAAGGTAGAAGTGGAAGGGAACAAATAAAGAATAATAAGACAAACAAATTTGAAGTTAGGTAGGTTAAATACGACTAAGGATTAATGTGAAATTGGTATGGTGTGTTAGATTACTGCAGGAATGAGTAACAAGAAAGGTTAGTTACACGAGCCCAATCTTGTAGTGCATAACTTTCCGGCATGATGGAGTGATGCAGGAATGAGTAACAGGAAAGGTTAGTTAGATGAAAGTTATGCACTACAAGATTGGGTGGCATGATGGAGTGATGCAGGAATGAGTAACAGGAAAGGTTAGTTAGATGAAAGTTATGCACTACAAGATTGGGTGGTATGATGGAGTGATGCAGGAATGAGTAGCAGGAAAGGTTAGTTACACGAGAGTTATGCACTACAAGATTGGGTGGCATGATGGAGTGATGCAGGAATGAGTAACAGGAAAGGTTAGTTACACGAGAGTTATGCACTACAAGATTGGGTGGCATGATGGAGTGATGCAGGAATGAGTAACGGGACAGGTTAGTTAGATAAAAGTTATGCACTACAAGATTGGGTGGCATGATGGAGCGATGAAATACTGGGTTAAATGGAGAATTAATGCAGGATTTCTGTATGTCAAAAAATGTTAATTTCGAAGTTGTGAAGAGAAATAATTAGTTATGAAACTTGGTCTTATCGTTATTTCAGAAAGTAGATCAAAGAAGCAACGGAAGGATTAGATTTCTCAAAGACGTGGAATAATTTTTCTCTCTGTTCGGTTTTATTTTTGAATATATTAAATACTTGACCTTGTTAGTGGTAAAAATGTGGTTTTGTGGCAGCGAGAAAAGTGAAGATTTACGTTTATTATAGACAAGAAAATGAAAAACAAATACGGTTACGTTTGGTAAAGTAAAGATAAAAAAAACGGTTTATTACTGGGAAGAAAAGAGTGAGTATTTACCGTGATGTCCTGACTTTTTGCTTCGACTGGACGACTTTACAGGTGGAAGACTGAAATTTTCTTCTTTTTTCTCGTCATCATAATCGGGCTGAAGAGTAAGAAATATTTATAATCTAAATTGTTTGTTAATATGTTTCGTCAATCTGTTATGGACCCTGCACTGGACTGCTACTGACCCACGGCTTACTTAGGCCTACATGTGTTATTGACTTCGGAAACGAGTCGCCTGAAAACATCCTGGTGACGATCATGTATATTAATACAAAAATGTAAAAAAAAATTAATTTTCTTTTTTAATTAAACGATGTTAAAAATTTGATCAACCTAATTTTTGAATATTAGGTTACGTCAAACAATACACTACTTCGTTAAGTTTAGAATATTAGGGTTACGTCAAACAATAAACTACTTCGTTAAGTTTAGAATATTAGGGTTACGTCAAACAATAAACTACTTCGTTAAGTTTAGAATATTAGGTTACGTCAAACAATAAACTACTTCGTTAAGTTTAGAATATTAGGGTTACGTCAAATAAAAACTAAGTCGTTAACCCTGATCTATTTACCGACGGGGCAGCGGTTTTGGATTTTTTTCAAAAACTATTTATCCTTTGAATTGCTTATGGGTCCATAACTTTGTTGTTTTTTAGGGTCCCTAATAAAAAACAGCGACACAAAAATGTAAATAGAAATTCTATCAATATTATAATTAACCACACTAATTATTATTACGGTCCCCTACGTATTATACAAATAAATGAGTTATTTCGCCCAGTTTTTTCGTTAGCTTTATACACCGTATTATCTAAATGTTCTAACAGACAAAAAATATATTTATTTAGTAATATTTGGACCCTATCGGTAATGATCCATTTAAAAACTGGTTGGGAAATTGAGGGTTAAGCCTAACCAATTTTAATTGCGAAATAGTATATTTTAACATCAGCCAAAATCTGGACTCTCTTGATTAACTTTTAACTAAGTGTTATTTTCATCATCGGGGGGGGGGGGGGCTAATCTGGTAAAAATCCAGATTTATCAATTATTACGTTTTTCGATTACTCCATTATTCCATTACGCGAGATAATTTTCAAAACTTCTGATAACGCGGTAATGTATTGGAATATCAATTAAATCTTTTCCATTAAAACAAAAAATGGAAACTAACTTTTACTTACAACGAAAGACGATGTACTGTGTGATCTCTGAAGAAAAACGTTGAATTTAAAATACATAAATTGGCCGGGTGTGACTTAGAGGCTATCTTCTCGAGTTGCGGATCGAATGATCCAGTGCTCGAGACATATTGAGGATGTTTCACACTTTCAATTGTAGGCGCGTTATGAAAGTGACAGTTAATTCCCACTTGCGCATAAGACGCGATTTAGAATGGACATTCCAATTTCGAAATACACATATAAGCAACCATTGTGTATAAAATTACAACAGTTGTTTTATATTTGCATGACTGATATCGGGAGAAGAAGTATTTTAAAGTGAAAACAGGTCTATCGCACTTGGTTTCTCTCTTTTTTTTTTCTCTTAAATAATATCAGTTAATTATCATTCAATACCGTGAGTTGCAAGGTCCAAAGTTCGAGCCGCTAAATACACTCAGCTATGCGAGCGTTATAACTGTGACAGTCAATCCCACTGTTTGTTTTCTTCGTAAAAAGTATTTAATATCAATTATCATTCAATACCATGAGTTGCAAGGTCCAAAGTTCGAGCCGCTAAGTACTCTTAGCTCAGCTGTGCAAGCGGTATAACTGTGACAGTCAATCCCGTTGTTTGATTTCTTCGTAAAAAGTATATAATATCAATTATCATTCAATACCAGAAGTTGCAAGGTCCAAAGTTCGAGCCGCTAAATACGCTTAGCTCAGCTGTGCGAGCGTTATAACTGTGATAGTCAATCCCACTGTTTGATTTTTTTTCGTAAAAAGTACATAATATCAATTATCATTCAATACCCTAAGTAGCAAGGTCGAAAGTTCGAGCCGCTAAATACGCTCAGCTCAGCTTGTATAATTTCGATTCATAAAACAATAGAAACCAAAGATTCACAATAGAAATTACCAATATTCTTTTGAACACAAACTACTCTTTCGACAATAAAGAAGTCCAAATTTATCAAGCAAAGCTATACAATGAGCTAGCTAGCTATCTGTGCTCTGTCCACCGCGGATATCGAGCTATGATTTTAGCGTCATAAGTTCTCAGACTCACCATTGAGCCACCAGGGGGCGCCTGTAATTGCATTTCACCTGAATCAGATTATGAAGGCCATGTTTTCAAAAGTTTAGAGGAATATCTTGAGAGCATTTTTGAATATAATGGAATACCTATTGGATTGGGCTTTTCGATTTAGTTTAAGTTCCAAACGTTATATACTGACTTATAGGGGCGTTGAGAGGGTTTACTTGCCAACAGAATACAAATTAGATATGTTTACAAACAAATCACACGATACTGCTTAACTGTTCCGGTTACAGAAATAATTTTAACAGCTCACATAGATTCTTACCTTAGGCACAGAAATGTGTGATAAGTCACGTGGCGGTAATTTCGGAGGTTTATCACGTGATTCACGTGGAGTGCTTGAAGAACGCGAGGAAGTTCCTGGATGAGGTACACTGTACGGGTCCTCTTCGGGAACAGGAAGTCGAGGACGATCAAATATACTTGTTAAGCTGGGGACACTTTGTTTCTTAGGGACTGCAAAAATAATGACCAATGAAAAGTTGAATTACACAATAGTAAATAGTTGTTGTTGTGTTGTTTTTTTGTAGAAATATCAATGCGTTTACCATTAGGACATTGTCTGTGTGTGTGTGTGTATTAAAGAGGAAAATAATCTATAAACGGCCATAGGAAATTTCTACAATGTGATTATATGTGAAAACAAAGTAGATCAAATAAGGCTTAACGTTCATCCAGCCTAACTTGCATAAAATAGTCTTAAACGTACGTTAGCCTAACTTGCTTAAAGTAGGCTTAACATACAATCTCCTAACTTACATAAAGTAGGCTTAACGCACGTCGGCCTAACTTGCATAAAGTAGGCTTAACGCACGTCGGCCTAACTTGCTTAAAGTAGGATTAACATACATCCTCCTAACTTACATAAAGTACGCTTAACGCACGTCGGCCTAACTTGCATAAAGTAGGCTTAACACACGTCGGCCTAACTTGCTTAAAGTAGGATTAACATACATCCTCCTAACTTGCATAAAGTAGGCTTAACGTACATCCGACTAACTCTCACTCTTTTTATTCAATATATGGTTTCCATGCTACGAAACATAACTTATTTACGATATCTAGTCATTTCGTGGGATAAAACAGTTGGTAAATCATAGTTTATCAAAATCAACACTGATAAAAAAGATCTATTTTTTCAAAAGTGTTCGGGTTGTCGAAACGTTTATTAGGGTCACAGAACTCATTACATCACACTTAAAACACAATTAACACATGACTTAGAAGGAAAATCCATATTTTGTTGGATAAATTTGTATAATTCATGACCGACTACAAGTGTGCGATTATTTAATGGTAAGAAAACAGCTGAAAAAGCATTTATAGCAACTGAAACCGGCAGAAGGAATACATAAAAAATTTCATATTAGAATGACTGAAACATATTTTAATCTGCTTGTTTGTTGTTGAGCACAATGGTGCTTTCTGTGTTGTACTCACCACAGGGATCGAACCATCATTTTTAGCGTTGTTATAAGCCCTCAAACGTACTACTGAGCCACCCCCAGTGATATCATACTTCTGGCGGAACATCTAAGTTAAAACATTTAGTTTGTTTGTTTGTAGTAAAACACAATGGGCTATCTGTGACGTGCCCACTACGGGTATTGAAACCCGATGTTTAACGGCTGAGTCATTAGGGGCCAGCTGGTTCGTTAAAGGCCAATTAGCGAACAGTTTGTACTTGTCACCAAATTAAGTTGAACCTTTGTAAATCGATGAATTAAGCTGAAGGCTTAAAATGCTAAAATTCTGGTTCCGATGCCAGTGTTGGGCACAGCGTAGATAGCCCATTCTGTAGTTTTTACACTGAACAAGAAACAAACTTTACATTTTCCTTGACAATTAGCCAATTGGTCCAAAACAATCCACTACACTAGTATGTACGAGAATAATAATCTGGATATATCGTGTGTACCAAATACGCATGAGCAGATAAGAATCCTAAATACAAATAATAAATTAGGCCTAATTTAGGTAAAGACCAGTAATGTTAAACTTCCCTCATGAAATTTCTCTATACTTGGCCACATCACTACTCTAGATCTTCCCTCATGAAATTCTTTACACTCGGCAAAATCACTACTCTAGATCTTCCCTTATGAAATTCTCCATACTTGGCCACATCACTGCTCCAGATCTTCCCTCATGAAATTATTTACACTCGGCAAAATCACTACTCTAGATCTTCCCTTATGAAATTCTCCATACTTGGCCACATCACTGTTCCAGATCTTCCCTCATTAAATTCTCCATATATAGCCACATCACTGCTCCAGATCTTCCCTTATGAAATTCTCCATACTTGGCCACATCACTACTCCAGATCTTCCCTCACGAAATTCTCCATACTTGGCCACATCACTACTCCAGATTTT